CCAGCTCTAGGACATCCTCCGCGGGTGGAACCACGGTGAGGTCCAGTTGGGAGCCCCAGCTTGACACAGCGCGGGGCTCCGCTCTCGTGGCTCTTGCCGCCACCGGGCCCCAGCGTGACACGGCGCAGGGCTCCGATTCCGCAGCTACCGCCGTTGTTGAGCCCCAGACTGACACAGCGCGGGGCTCAATCTCCGCGGCGGTCGCCACCATGTTCCGATTGCCGGCCGGCGAATCAACGGACATGAAGGGGTCCTGTCCCGACAGGCTAGCTTGGCGCACAATGCCCGCACGAACCGGGGGTATCGATAGCTTCCTGGGCGTGTTCCAGCCCAAGGCAGGACGAGCAGACCTGGTGTGAGTCCGTGCCCGAGATCTTAAAACCGCAGCCGCAGAGCCGAGCCTCCGACTCCTCTGGTGTGAGGGAGAGAAGGGTCCATCCTCGTTTGCCGGGGTGTCGGCGCGGAGGGACAAGCTAGTAACAGGTATGTTACCGAAAAAAATCCAACCTTATCGTTATTCCGAAAGAAAAAACGGCGGGGCGGATTACAATATTAACTGGTGTGTTAATATTTGTTCAAAGAAGTAACCGGCAAGCGCCCGTCGACCGAATGTTAGCTTGGGTTCAGTCTGTTGACCGTTAAGCTAGCCCGGCTACTGATATTCGAGATGTGCTCTGAAGCGAGAAGAGGTGTTTGAATGACGCTGTGACGTAGCGCAAGCTACTTAAAGGGTTGGTGGATTCCCTGACGTAGACGTCAAGATCACCAGCCAATCAGGATTGGCGTAATGAGATTGATGCTTCTGTTTGCATACGCGTTGAGGCGCATCCCATAGTGAGACATCGAACGGAGTGTTATGAATGAGAACTGTGGAGTAGACTTCACATGTTTTGAGTGGGTGGACAAAAAAAAAACGTACCTGATCCTCTTATCATTGTAGCCCGAGCTTTATAAGCAGCAGAAGATGGATTCAGCAAGTCATTGGTAAATGTATCTTGAACAAATCTGAAAGTCACCCTTTTTTTTATAAGAGCTATAGTAGTAGGTGCTGCAGTCGCAGGTCTAGCCGTTATAGGCGCTGCCATTTTAGGTTTAGCAGTTGTAGGTGTGGGAATTGTAGCTGGACTTGCTGTAAAAATAGATATATAAATATGATGTTAATATATCCCGAAACTAAAAGTAAAACGTTTCCTTTTTTTGATGAAAAACCCTGGTGCCAGTTTTACAATAAGATCAATAATGAAGGGCTTACAAAAATATATTTCTTCTGAAGTTTCTTAGGAAAAATAATTCTTGAATAATAATTTTTTTACATAACAATTACACTGAAAATCATTAAAGTAGTGTTCATTAATTTTGTCTTTACCTACATTTTTTTCCGTAGCTACAGACTTTTGTTAGTAAATTATTGAAAAACCAAGCATGCCCAGCAAATGTTATTCAAAATGGTTTGGAAGCGTTTTGGAGAGAAACATTGTGTTGTGTATACTTACATATAACTTGGACTGAATCAGGATTTATGCTCACGTGTACACACTCTAAAGCCCCCCTTACTAATATGGCTATCAAGTATGTTTGACATTATGTCACAGGCTATATCAACATCAAGTTTTAATATACAAAAATGTCACTTGTGACTCAACGTATTAACATGGCTTTTTCTTCCATTTGTAAAGGCATACAGACATTACAATATGCTAAATACATACATCAAGAAAAAAGGTACGGTTCATGTAAAATAAAGCTTAAATGCACCATGGGAATTATTAGGATGATTACAGCATCATCAGTTTACACCAGTCCACTTGGAGCTATACAGGATAAAGATGTATGTCTACCCTGATTAAACAAATACCTGTGTAAACTTAGGAATTCACTTCTAAAAGCTTGAATGTATTAAAATACTGAGGTAAGCTTTTATCATTCCAATATCATACATAAGAAAAAAGTTACAGTAAATTAATAAAGGAATATAAGTATTGTTTTAAGAAGTCACAATCTTATAAGGATGTCAATATTGTACTGTCAGTCGGTCCAATCCTTTTGATCCAAACTGAAATAACCAAACAACTATTTTGGTAACAATCAAATTTGGAAGCCTGCTGACATGCTGATGATCCTCTGACTCTTACTGTAGCATCGCCTTAAGTTAGACAACTTTACTTAACTACAGTTCCCCATTGCTTTATTATGGATTTGCAGGCATTTTGCAAAGAGGAGAATTTAGTATTTACTTAATTAAGTTAAATATTTACACTTAACTTAATGTAGCGCTCCTTGTCTATTATCACCTTAATGGAGGGCTTTGCGAGTAATGACATGAATAAGATATGACACCGGTAACGGAGGTGATGTCTGGGGCCATAGATCTCGGCCTCCGTTACTGATTGTATAGCTTCGTTGGTGGTGAAGTGTATTGATTTGTTCCGTGCCCTGGAAAGTGTCACGATCTGTCTGTGTTTTAGTTTGTCCGTCTCTGTTTTCTGTTTTAGTTTGAAAAGTGTTCCCCCTACCGTCTTGTCTGTTGCTGGTGATTGTGTTCACCTGGTGCCCTGTGTTGTCTGCTCCCCCCTCACCTGTGCCTTGTTGGTTTGATTAGTTTGTGTGTATTTAGGTTCTGTTTTCCTGTTAGTCTGTGTGTGTGAGATCCTGTTCACGGGAGACAGTCATATTGAGGCTGTGTATCCTGATGAATAAATGCCCACACCGGGTTATATTTGAATTCTCTGCGTCTGCCTCCTTGCTTGGTCGGGCCGCTCAACGGTCAGCTTCACAACACCTTATTGAGATATTTCTGCATCTATATGGCCCAACAACAATGACAAGTCAGACAGATATCTATTAATCATCTCTTAACACTGTCATTGTATACTCCCTTTTTTGGTCTGCTGCTGCATGACGCTTTCACAATCCACTACTGCAGATTATAGTTAGTTTAAGTGTGCCAGTTGGTTAAGTCAAATTAATAAATCATATCAAAATAAATGTAAATGTAGCCCAATAAATGTAATTTGACAAAGGAATAGTTGAATATAGTCTTATATTTGGAAAATACTTTACAGTCCAACTTTATAAAAGAACAAAACCAGCAATGATTACATTTGAGTGTGTTTGGTCACAATCCTCCTGTGATTCTTTTTGCTGTCCTTTCTTTATTAATTTAAACCAGGGCCATTGTGAATCGACATGCAGCCATATTATTTCTGGGAAATCCTGAATAACTTATATATAACCATATTGAGAATAACAGATTGGAAAAAAGGTTTTTAGAAATAATAAGACAGTGTTTGATTGTTTGTACTTATCTTCAGTGCCTTTAATGGAAGCATTTTCAACTTATTGAGATACACCTTATTTGTATTTCCGGATGCCAAAAACGTAGCATAGCATAAAATATATTTTGTGTTCCGATCATCAAGAAGACCTTATTTTTTTCCAAAATACAGGTAAGCTCATAGAATACACAAGTTATGTATGATAATATAAAAAGATAGAAATAAGAAAAGTTACTGGATAATAATACAAGGCACTGTGTTCAATTTAAATGTTATTGTAAATTATATCTGCACAATAAGTTAAAATGTTTTTATATGTGATGCGTCTGATATGCAATACAGTTAAAGTATGTAAGGCTTTCTGTAATTGTATTTCACTTAACAGACATCAGCGCTGTACTATTGAAAGCTTGACAGTAGCCATGACAGCAGCACAAGGAAGGATGCAGTGATGAGACTCATCTTGTGGCTTACTCCATTTGAAACTTCTGTAAATGATGACAAAAGAAAAACAAAATATATTACTTGAAGTATTTCTTGTAGGTTGTGTTTTTTTGGTCAGGTAGTATTTCAAATAACTTACGTGCGCCATCCAAAAAAATGGAGGCAGTTTCAATGTTGAAGGCTGTGATGCTTGAAGCTGCACCAGCCAAAATGTTTCCAATCTGAGTGCCACTAGGAACTGATGTGGATGCAAATTCAAGAATCATGGTGTTGAAGATTGATCCATTACTGCAAATAAAATTGAAGATAAATATATATTCTTAATCATTATAAATAAATTATAGTTATTACAATTATGTTATAAATATTATTTTCATGAATTCACAGTACAATATATTTAGATTGCAGTACATTTTAATAACATTAATAAATTACCTGAACAAAATCACTGTCAAGGAGCGGAACGAAGAAAATTGTCGTTGGTAAATAGGGTTAAGCTGCAAAAAACAAGCAAATAAATTATGTACATTTATTTTATTTGCCATTGACTTTTGTAATTGTGGTTTTTAATTTGCACCAACAAACACCCTCCAATCATAAAACAATGAAAAATCCAGCATCTTCTATCCAGTATAAGAAGCACCAACACTGAACTTATCATTTTGTTTAAGTTTGAAGATACATTTTATCTCATAACACAGGATATAGTCATTTGACTATGTCACCAAATGTGTTTGTTAAATGAGATTTAATCTACAAATTAAAAGAAAAGATGGCTTATTGCAGGAAATACTAATACGTTTAGTAAAACATTTCCAGTTAATTAGGATGCTTAGATTTTGCTCGGCTTCACCCTATGGACTTACTGTTGTCTCTATTAGTGAGGCTCGTGCTTTAAACGCAGCAGATAATCTATTCTGCAAATCGGTCGTAAATGTCTCTCCAGCAGATCTGAAAGTCAATTGCCTTATTATGACTGCTTCAGCAATTGTAGTAGCTTTCGTTATGGTGGTTGTAGGAGTCGTTGTGGTTTTAGTTGTAGCAGCCCTTGTAGTTGTAGTTGCAGCACTGGTAGTTGTAGAAGTTGGGATAGCTGTCGGGGCTATAGTCCAAACAAATATGAATCAATGTGAAGAAATATGGTAAAATAAAAGACGGTATTCAAATTGCTTTCTTCTGAACAAAGTCAATCCACAGTGTAAAGGTTCTCAACACAACATTAAAAGTTTATGTCTGACTGATGGATTGCCTTCAAACTATTCTCACTTTTGCGATGGCTGGGCCAGCAGCTTGTAACTATAGGTGCTAACATCAGAAACATTGCTGACCGTGCCAACAGTGATAACAGCATTTTCAGACAAGAAAGAAAAATAACTTTAAATTGTGTTTCTTATGTTTGTAAGAGTCGATGGTATATGATTGTGTATGCTCCATCTCGACCAAAACATTTGTCAAATAAGAATTTTTGAAATTATTCCAGAAGTACTTCAATATTGAATGGAAGTTATGTACATTCTTATTTAAACACAAAGCAATTTCTGTTCTCGGATTCAACATGCGTAATTTTAAATCTACAGAAGTCAAACTGGATGCAGACTGGCTTCATATAAAACTTAAACTGAAATGTTTTTAAGAAGATTTGGTCATGAGTTAGTGCTTTTTGTTTTATTGTATTTGTTTCTTTTGTTTTGTCTTTGTTTGTTTCTTGTTGAGCCCTGAGTTTTGTGTTTAAATGTACCTAAATTGTGTTTTGAACAGTTTTTTTCATGTCATGGTTGTCTGGTTTAATTCCAGGTCCCTCTAGGGACTGGCATTGCATGTTGCCGTGGCCTAATGCTGTGGTGTGTTGTTTCGGTTCATGCTGTATGGTTTAAAAATAAAACAAAGATATTGGCTTTGTATTGTACAAATTTGCTAAATTTAAACCCCTTATTTGGAGCACAAAAATGAAACTTGGCTATTGTTATTTGCAGTTAGATATATTGAACAGACAACGTTACACAAATCTTAGATAACAAAATGTCCTTGCTAAATGAAGGATATTGATTACTTACGAATTACTCGGATGGAGGTGACATCAACACTGATGTTGAAAGTATTGTTTGGGTTGGAGATAGCCTCTTCCAAGGTTTTTGCAACATCATCATCCTTTGGGATTTCTGCAGGTGAAGCAGTTTGATTGAACTCAAGCCCCACCTCGACTTGAGTACTATCAGCTCGAGTTATCGCCACAGCTCGACTGCATCAAAACATAACATATTTTAAACCAAATTATATCAACATTGATAACTTTTACATATCTGTAATGAGTGCTTTTGTCATTCTTATGTTTGAAAGTTTGAATATAAAAACCCAGAAAGTATAAGGTGAGTTGGCCTCTCAAAGTGTGAAACGTTACCTAAATGAAATGACAAACGAGCGTATGAAAAGAAATCCATATTGTGTCTTGTAGATGATATCATACTGTAGGAACAAAAGCAACAAAATAAAGCAGTTAAAATAAGAATAGTTTCCAAATGAAATCAAAACAGCAAACTCAATACTCAGAAAAATAATAAGAATGAGAACTAACCACTAATACAACTCTGCTTTCAAGAACTTTAAACTCTGCACTGTTTTTGTCACTAAGTTCTGCTACAAATGGTTCTGCCACGGTTGCCTCGAGAACCACAACTGGTTTAGAAGCTGGAATTGTTGGTGATGCTGTTGTTGCAGTTGTAGGGGCAGATGAGGTAGGTGAAGCAGTGGTTGGAGCAGCAGTTGAAGGTGCATCAGTCGTAGGTGTAGCAGTTGTAGCCGCAGCAGTTGTAGATGATGCTGTTGTAGCCTTAACAGTTGTAGGTTCTGCTGTTGTAGGTGCAACTGTTGTCAGTGCAGCAGTAGTTGTAGGTGCTGCTGTTGTTGTTGCAACAGTAGTAGGGGCTGCAGTTGTAGGTGAAGCAGTAATTATAGGTTGCACCGTTGTCGGAGCAGCAGTAGTTGTAGGTGCTGCTTTTGTTGTTGCAACAGTTGTCGGGGCAGTGGTCGTAGCTACAGCAGTCGTAGCCACAGCAGTTGTAGATGATACAGTTGTAGGTGCTGCTGTTGTAGGTGCAACTAATGTCAGTGCAGCAGTTGTCTTGGCAGCAGTGATCGGGGCAGCAGTTGTAGGTGTAGCAGTTGTAGCTGCAGAAGTGGTAGCCGCTGCAGTAGTAGGTGATGCTGTCGTAGGTGCAGTTGTCGTAGGTGCAGCAGTAGTTGTAGGTTCCACCGTTGTTGTTGTTGTTGTTGTTGTTGTTGTTGTTGCAACAGTAGTAGGAGCTGCAGTTGTAGGTAGAGCAGTAGTTGTAGGTTGCACCGTTGCTGTTGTTGCAACAGTAGTAGGGGCTGCAGTTGTAGGTGCAGCGGTAGTTGTAGGTTGTACCGTTGTTGTTGTTGTTGTTGTTGTTGTTGCAACAGTAGTAGGGGCTGCAGTTATAGGTGCAGCAGTAGTTGTAAGTTGCACCGTTGTCGAAGCAGCAGTAGTTGTAGGTTGCACCGTTGTTGTTGTTGCAACAGTAGTAGGGGCTGCAGTT